AGGAAGGAAGGAAGGAAGGAAGGAAGGAAGGAAGGAAGGAAGGAAGGAAGGAAGGAAGGAAGGAAGGAGAGAAAAGAAGAACCACTGTATCCAGACTCCCATGGTGTATGAGCAGTCTATATTCAAAAACACTAAGACAACCAGAGGCCCTATCAGTCCTATCTGAAGCATAAGCCCAAAGAGAAACATTTCAGCCAAATCTTGGAAGCTCTATGCTTTTGTTGCCTCTAGTCAACTATACTTGACTACTGTGTTCCCCCTTTAAAACTCTATTTAATATAATTTGTACATTTTTCCTACTTTATTTTACTGTTTTAATTTTTCAGGGAACATTACAGGTGCTGGACATGGTAGCACACACATACAATCTCAGTACCTGAGAGGTTAAATCAGGAGAATCAGAGTTCAAGGCCATTAACTACATGAAGCCCTGTCTAAAGCACCAAAAACCAAAACAAAAAGTATAAACAATGTGGAACAACAAATTAGAGAGGCTGGAAAGATGGTTCAGTAGTTAAAAGTGATAGTTGCTCTTCCAGAGGACCCAGGTTTGATTCCCGACACCCATCCAGTAAATGCAGACCCAGGGGATTTAACACCATCCTCTAGCCTCTACAGGCATCCGGCACTCATGTGGTGCATGACATATATACAGGCAAAACACCCATACACTAAAAATAGAAAGCAAATATTAGAAAGTACACGATTAGCTTGCAATCTTATATCACTGATCTGACAGAGAAAAACTATACTAAATGAGATGCAGTAGGAACAAGATTCAAACTCCCAAAGGCTTCAATTTGCAATTACAAGATGTAAAGGATAACATTATAAAATCTTTATAGACAAACCAGAACTGAAAATACATTTACACAAAACCTTATCAACAAATGTTTAAAATGTTTTCCTGAATAGTCAAGGAGTGAAAAAAAAAAAAAACTGAGACACACAAAATGTACCATTATCCATACAATGAACTACTATTTAGCCATAAAAGGGAATTAAGTACAGATACATACTATAACATGGATATATATATATATATATACACACACACACATATATACATACACACACACACACACACACACACACACACACACACACACACTCAGTAAATGAATACAGGCACAGAAAGTCACATAGTGTATGACTTTATTAACAAAAAAACACCCAGCATATATATATATAAATGGCTGTTAGAGATTTGGAGGAAGAAAGCTGAGTGCTTAATTACTACAGGATTTCCTACTAGGGTTACAAAAAAGTTACGGAATTAAATAATGATACTGGTCAAAAATACTCATCTACTGCAAACTACTGAATTACTGCCTACTTAAAAATGACTCAAGGCCGGGCGGTGGTGGCGCACGCCTTTAATCCCAGCACTCGGGAGGCAGAGGCAGGTGGATCTCTGTGAGTTCGAGGCCAGCCTGGTCTACCAA